AGCAGCAGCAGCAGCAGCAGCAGCAGCGAAGCCACCGTCAGCGCTGGAAAGCCCGCGGGAAGCAGCAGAAGCTGAAGCCTGCGAGGCGGCGCTGCGGCTGCTGAAAGAAGCTGCTGGAGTCTCCGACGCAAATAAAGTCATTGAACACTTTCTCTCGCAAAGCCATACTTACGAGCAGCTGCTTTGCCTCGCGCACAAGGTGCTGCTGCTGCTGCTGGTGCTGCTGCTGCTGCTGCTGGTGCTGCTGCTGCTGCTGCTGCTGCTGCTCTTGCTGCGGAGGTGGAATTGGAGGACGATGATGGGGATGCTGCTGCTGCTGCTGATGGTGCGGATGACGCTGATGATGCTGCTGCTGCTGATGATGATGCGAATGATGCTGTTGATGCTGCTGATGAAGTGGATGAAGCTGCTGCTGCTGCGGATGCTGCGGATGCTGCTGCTGCTGCTGATGCCGACGATCCTGATAATGCTGTTGATGCTGCTGCTGCTCTTCCTGGGGACTGGGAATGCGATGGGGTGTAGGAGGTTATGCTGCTGCTGCTGCTGGGGTTGGAGCAGTGGATATTATGCTGCTGCTGCTGCTGCTGCTCCGGTTGCTGCTGCTTGGAGTGCTTGTTGCGGCGGCTGCACTGCTGCTTCTGCTGTTGCTGTTGCCACAGCTGCTGGGAATGGTGGCAGCTGTATTGCTGCTGCTGCTGCTGCTGTTGCTGTTGTTCTTCGTGCTTATGCTGTTATGCTGCTGCTGCTGGTCCTAGGCTGGCTGCCAATATTGGAAGAGTCAACTGCTGCTGCGTTTGTTGCTGTGTTGCTGCTGCTGCTGCTGCAGCACCAGGCCAGGCTGCAGGAACTGCAGGAGCAGAAACGCATTTATACCCAAATGGTATCCTTTGAGGGCTCCAAACCCTAAAACCTAAACCCTAATCCCTAAACCCTAAACCCTAAACGCTAGAACCTAAACCCTAAATCCTCAGGCAGAAGACTTGTGGGTGCAACAGCAGCTTCACTGCGTGCCAACGCAGTACGCTTGTGGCACTTGCCTGCTGTTGCTGCTGCTGCTGTTGCTGCTATTGCTGCTGCTGCTGCGCATTTGCATCGCGGTTGCTGCTGCTGCCGTTGGTGGAGCCGCTGCTACTTCTCTTCATGCTATTGCCGCTCCTGCTTGTTGAGGCCTTTATAGGCTGCTGCTGCTGTTGCTGTTGTTGTTGCTGCTGCTGCTGCAGCTGGAAGAAAGACGGTTTGCTTCTGTCTCCTCGGGCCTAGTGCGCGGGGAGAGCCTCCCTCCGGAAGCAGCAGAAGCAACTGCTGCTGCAGCAAAGCAGCATCTGCAGCGGGAGCAGCAAACCCACCAGCGCTTGCAGCAGCTGCTCTCAGAGCTGCAGACAGGAGTTGGTTTCCTCACTGAAAAGCTCACCAGTGCGCAGCAGCAGGTCAGCATATCAGCTGTTGCTGCTGCTATTGCTGCTGCTGCTGCTGATGCTGCTTTGTGTGAAGCTGCTGCGTCTGCTGCGCTTTGCGCCGCTGTTTCTCCCGCTGCTGCTGCCGCCACTTTGTTGCCGCTGTTGCAGCAGCAGCTGCTGCTTTGCAACAGCAACAACCCGTGTGAGGTTTTCTGCTGCAGCTGGGATTCCTGCCGAAGCTGCAGCAAGATGCCTCCCTGCCAGATATTTTCTCTTTCTGCTGCACTGTCACAAAGGCATTGGTAGAAGCAGTGAAGACGGTGAGCAGCAGCAGCAGCACCAGCGGCAGCAGCAGCTGTCGAAGCAGCGGCCGCAGCAGCTGCAGATGGCAAGTTGTGTTGTGCATACACCGTAGTGCAGCAGCAGACAGCAAAGGATGAGGTACTGCTGCTGGTCTTCTGCAGTTGCCAAAGGAAAACACAGCAGCAGCAGCTGCTGCAGCAACAGCAGCATATGACGCAGGTGAAGACGAAGAGGAGAACAAGCAGCAGCAGGAAGAACCAGAAGACAAAACTGCTGCGGTGGCAACAGAAGAACCAGCAGCAGCAGCAGCGGCAAACAAAGAAGAGGCACCATCTGAAGTAGCTGCTGCACCAGATGCAGCAGCGGCAGAGGGTGGGGAATCTGCAGCAGCAGTACAAGAGGAGCAGCAGCAAGACCCTTGACGCCCTGCCCTGCCAAAGCTGCAGCAAAGCTATCCAGCGGCAAGAGCAGCAGCAGCAACAACAACAAAAGCCATGAGATTGCGCTGCCACGCGGCTAGTTCGTTGCTACTGCTGCAACAGCAACTGCTGCAGCAGATGTCGCTGCAGCATCTGCCGCTGTGACATACGCTGCTAACCCGCTAAATGCTGCTGCAGCAGTTGTTGTCACCGCTGCTGTAGTTGCAGTCGAGTTGGCTGCAGCTGTTGCTGCCGTTGCAGCAACAATGTGCGCAGCTGATGCAGCTTTAGTTCTATCTAGTGCTGCAGCAGCTTCTGCTGCAGCAGCTGTCTTGCAGCACCTTGTGCTGCAGCGGCTTGTGCTGCAGTAGCTGTCTTGCAGCAGCCTGCGCTACAGCAGCCGTCTTGCAGCAGCTTGTGCTGTAGCAGCTTGTGCTGCAGCAGCCGTCTTGCAGCAGCTTGTGCCGCAGCAGGTTGTGCTGCAGCAGCTGTCTTGCAGCAGCTTACGCTGCAGCGGCTGTCTTGCAGCAACTTGTGCTACAGCAGGTTGTGCTGCAGCAGCATGTGACGCAGCAGCTGTCTTGCAGCAGCTTGTGCTGCAGCAGTTTGTGCTGCAATTGCTGTCCTGCAGCAGCTGTCTTGCAGCAGATTGTGCTGCAGCAGCTTGTGCTGCAGCAGGCAGTGCTGCAGCGGCCGGTGCAGCAGCTGCTACTGCTAAACAAAAAGCAAACGTGGCTGTGCAGCCCTTGTTGGCTGCTCCCTTTTAGTCTTCATAATTCCCTCATAAAAAACAGCAGCAGCAGCAGCAGCAGTGCATCAGCTGTTGCTGCTGCTGCTACTGCTGCTGCCTGCTACTCCTGATGACCTGCCCCAGAACTCGAACACAGTCATGCAATTTGCTTCCAAGATTCCCTCACGCTGTCGGTGCAGCAACACTCCATGTTGTTGCTGCTGCTGCAGCAGTGCATCAACCGCTGGTGCTCCTGCAGCTGCTGCAGCGGCCGCAGCAGCGTCGGCCGCTGCTGCTGCTGTTGCTGCTGCTAAACGCCCTGGTACCTTACTAATGCTAATGTGGCGGCAGCGCCACTAAAATTCACTCCGTGCTACTGAGGTAGCAAGTTGGTCCCTGAGCTCACAGTCCTTCTTGTCTTGCTGCTGCTGCTGCTGCTGCTGCAGCTGCAGTTGCAGTTGCAGCTGCTGATTCACCTGCTGGGGGCGCTGTGCTGGCTGCTGCTGTGCTTCCTGCTGCTGCACGTGGTGCTGCTGCTGCGGCTCGTGCTGCTGCTGGTGAAGCTGCAAAGTATGCGACAGTATCTGCTGCTGGGAGTGTTGCGTTTGTTGCTGTTTCTGTTGTTGCTGCTGATGCTTGTGCTGCTGCTGCTGCTTTTGTTGCTGCTGCTCGTAGTTTCCTTTTTCGTCGCCATGCTGCAGCTGCTGGTCTTGAGCCTGCTGCAGCTGTTGACGCTCACTGCGCTGCACATTGTCGTGTTGCTGCTGCTGCTGCTGCTGCTTCTGCAGTGGTCGCTGCTGTTGCTGCTGTTGCCGCTGCTGCGTGAAGTGTTCATGGTCTGCGTCTGAGGGAAGCTGTTCCTGCAGCAACTGCTGCTGCTGCTGTTGCCGCTGCTCCTCTTCCTGCTGCAGCTGCTGCTTCTCTCCCTGCTGCAGCTGCTGAGAGACATCCTGCGGCCGTTCGTTCGGTAGCAGCTGCTCCTCCTGTAACTGCTGTTGCTGCTGCTGCTGCAGCGGCTGTTCCTCGTGTAACTGCTGCTGCTGCTGCTGCTGCTGCCAGTGATGCGTGTGGCTATATATGTGGCAAAATTCAACACCTAAATCCACCCTGCGGATGAATTGCTGCATGTATGCCTCTCCCGAGAGCTGCTGCTGCTGCTGCCGTTGCTGCCGTTGCTGCTGCTGCTGCTGCGGCAGGTGCTGCTGCGGGCGCTGTTGGTCCTGTTGCTCACCGCCTTGTTCCTCTTGCTGCTGTCGCTGGACATGTGGCTCCTGTTGCTGCTGCTGCTGCTGCATGGTTTTGCTGCCAGACGTTTTAGGGGCCGCTGCAGCCCCAGAGCCTTCGCCTTCGCTGCTCGCCTTTGCCGCTGCCTCTGCTGCTGCACTATTTAAGCAACTTTGTTCTGTTACTGCAGCTGCTGCTGCTGCTGATGCGGCTGAAGCTGTCTCTGCCGCTTCTGCTGCTGCTGCTGGCTCAGCAGCACTAGCTGACTGCTGCTGGAGGGGCTCGCCAGCTACTGTCTCTGCTGCTGCAGTGGCATCCTCGCGGGCCGCTATAGCAGCAGCAGCAGCAGCAGCACACGCCTTCTTGAACAGGGCCTCTTCGCAGCGCATGTACTCCAGCACAATCCACCTGCAGCAGCAGCAGGTGCAACAGCAGCAGCAAAACGTTCTCGTGCAAATTGAAGCAGCGACAAAAACAGCGGAGAGAGCAGCAGTACCAGCAGCAGCGCCTGCTGCAGCACCAATGGCAGCAGCAAAGTCAGCAGCAGCAAATTCAGCCGCGCTGGAGGGTCCCTGAAGTAAGAGCAGCTCCTTCTGGTGCTGCGGCAAACTGCGGTGTGTCTGCAGCCAACGATGAAGCAACTACAGGAGCTACAGCAACAGCAGCGGCAGCAGCAGCAGCAGCACCTGAATGCATCTGCTCTGCCTAAGTCAAAGAGCTCTTCAATCGCCTTGGGCGATGCGGGTTCTAAAGCCATTTGGAGGAGCTCTTGAGTGTTGTTTTTTAGCTGCAGCAGGCTGCCGCAGCCGCAGCAGCAGTCGTCGCTGCTGCTGCTGCTGCTGCTGCTGTTGCAGGCGCCCGGGAGGCACAGCCGGCCTGCAGCAGCAACGGGGCCGCAGCCAAAGCTGCTGTCTGTGGGGTCGCAGTAGTAGTAAGTGAGCTGCTGCGGGGGGCAGACGAGTCCTAGGGGGCAGCAGCGGGGGCAGGAAGCAGCAGCAGCGGCAGCAGCAGCAGTAGCTGCTGCTGCCGCTTGCTGCTGCTGCTGGCTGCGCGCTGCGGACGCTGAAGGGCGCAGCAGCAGCCAGCTCGCTGCGCTGCGGCTGCTGCTGGTGCTGCCTGTGGCGGCAGCAGCAGCAGCCTTTAGCCGCTGCTGCTGCTGGTGCTGCGGGCTCGGCGAGGACGGGGCAGAGGGAGCAACAGCAGCAGCAGCAGCTGCTGCAGCGGCCACGACTGTGCAGCTGCACGGCTCCTCCTCCGCCTCCTCAGCGCCGGAACCGCCAGCAGCAGCAGCAGCAGCAGCAGCGACGACTGCTGCTGCGGCTGCGGCAGCCTGCTGCAGCTAAAAAACAACACTCAAGAGCTCCTCCAAATGGCTTTAGAACCCGCATCGCCCAAGGCGATTGAAGAGCTCTTTGACTTAGGCAGAGCAGATGCATTCAGGTGCTGCTGCTG